GAAGAACAAGAAACTAGCAATTAACAACAGCCGAACACGAGCAGAGAAAGTCAAAGCACAAGCAGACTACGCAGAAGCAAACAAGCAAGTGAAGAAAAGCATTAAAGCCGACAAGCAGAAATACATGGGAGAACTAGCAACGGTGGCGGAAAAAGCTGCAAGAGAAGGGAATATGAGACGACAATATAATATAACAAAGAAATTGGCAGGGAGATATAGCAAACCAGAGAGATCAGTCAAGGACAAAGTAGGAAAGACAATCACTGAGATTCAAGAACAGAGGAAAAGATGGGCAGAATACTTTGAGGAACTGCTGAATAGACCAGCCCTATTGAATCCACCGAACATCGAAGCAGCCCACACTAACCTTCCAATAGATGTCACTCCACCAACGATCGAAGAAGTCAAGATGGCCATCAGACAAATCGAAAGTGGGAAGGCGGCAGGACCTGACAATATACCAGCAGAAGCACTGAAGTCAGACATTGAAATAACTGCAAACATGCTTCACCTTCTATTCAAGAAGATATATATATATATATATATATATATATATATATATATATATATATATAAATCAAGCAGTACTGAAACACAGAAAGTAACTAGATTATTTGTTCGTTATATTGATCAAAAGGGAAAACGTCCGTATAGTGTTCCCTGGTTAGTAGGCGATCTTTTCCTCCATGTGCTAAAGCATGCAGCAGGGTGGAGATTGGGCTAATCTCACACTCTACCTTAATATGGATTAACGAGAAAGAGGGATATTGGCGAGATATATATGTGAAGTTGTGTGGAAGAGAGAACATCTTTTTGATATCTGTCCAAATAATCTCTGGATAGAACCATTAGACCTGGCGAGGGTGGGTCAGAGCTTGGGCCATAGACTGTGCCGTAACCATTGAGCAGATGTCGAAAACATTTACGCGAAAGAGAGTCTCGTCCATGACGGCTTATTTACAAACTGATTTGTATACTTCATATTCGTTCAGTGTTAGAAGCATCTGAACTGTGGTCTGAGGTGGTCGAATCTATACCTATATGTAGTTCACCAGCGCTTTTAATTTGTATGCAAGTTTCTGAATATGGTGGGAAAGTGAAACTGCATTAAGGATGGACCGTTCGGTTTCCGTCTGCTCCACCAGTGGTAAACCGTAGCAAATCCATCTGCCACATCTAGATACAAGAAGACTGTAATGGATCAGTCTGTTTCTACGTATAAAACAGATTGTTAACGTGTTCAAAATCGAAATGTTCCCATTTCATCCTTAACTCTTTTTTTGTACAATTCTATGTCTTTAAAAAAGACTTTTCTGAACGTCAATAACCTGATCGGATTTCTTCATTGCTGGGGTGAAGAAATAATAATATATTTAACCAACTTATGAAATGTCAATTTAAAAGGTAATATCTTCAATAGACCATTTTAATAATATCTGAATCCAATTGTTCATATTGTCAAGTAATTTCTTATATTTCCCTATGAAAATTACCAAATATTGAGAAGCTGAATATCAATCGATTTGGGAAGATTATACTTAAAGAATAATACACCGTCAGACTGAATTCAAAGAGGAGAATGTAGGATAAAAAAGCATAAAGGGAATAAAAAGAAAAAACTGTCGGTAATACAAACAAAGCTCAAATATATACCATTACCGAAATTTCAGTATAATGAAAGTATAGCGTTGTGGAAATTGATGATTTTGTTGAAATAATGAATATCTCTAAGTAAGACCATTATTTGAAGATCTATAAACACTGGATCGCTGTTTCTTCTTAGTATGAAGCTACTCATCAGTATACATCAACGACTCCGCAAGTGTGAATTGAATTCAGGACCACTTTTCTCGCGCTCAAAATGGTCATAATGAATAAAGTGTGTTTGTTGCGTAATGAACGACAAAAAAAGTGGAGACAATCAAATGTATCTTAGCACAACATTACAAAATATTTTATATAGTTGATATCATGATATCTCAAACTCTTCTCTTCGATTATCTCAACCTTATGTCGTAAAGCATTCCACTTTCAGTTTGTGCCACATACTACTTATAACTGTTGACATCAGTAGTACACACCATAGTTGTACCATCATGTTCCAAAAATTACATAATTTCAAATAAAGTTAAAAAGAACTAAACAAAACTAATATGGTTAAATATCATATTCGAAGGAAGATGATTGAACACTGATAAGAGCAATGACAAAAGATCATTTAACTATGATTGTGTATACAAATTATTGATCATTAGAATTGAAATTAATCTATATAAGCCTATTAGAAGCTACCGGTTTCTTTCATTAAACTAGTGATTGATGTACAAAATTAAGCCTAACAATTCATATCATGTTCATTCCAGTTAAATAAAGTATAATCATCTCGTCAATGCAAACAAATTGTACATGGTAGGTCATCATAAAACTAATCTACAATATTTTATATGAATCAGGCTCTAAATGTTACCCATAAATCAATGATACATATAATGACTCTACTAATGCTTATACATTGATAAAAATTAATAGACTCTAGGTGAAGGAAACTACTAGTTAATTTCAAAGTAAACTATTCCATAAAAGAAGGGGATTTTGTGGAGATTTTAGTAATTTTATATAGTTCGACTAGGTCTGCTGTGAGATATTAACTCACTGAAGACATTGGTAAATGGTTGCTCAATTTCATGGATTGGTTGAAGTTAGACATTAACACTGTTGGATGACGGCCGGCTCAGTGGTATAGAGGTTAAGCGCCCGCAAGCGAGACTGATAGTTCCTGAGTTCGAATCTCACGAGACGGGATCGTGGATGCACACTGCTGAGGAGCCCCATAATAGGATGAAACGGCCGTCCAATGCTTCCAGGTTTTCCATGATGGTCTAGCTTCGATTGACTCATGATTTCAACTATATTCTGTAAAAGTATAATACATTGACAGCTTCGGGTTAACCAGTCACAACCAAGATAAGAAATCATGTATTTTGTGCGGAATTTAAAAAGCAGTGATAGGTAATCTGTATTTTATCATTAATAAGGTGAAAGTTGGCATTATCTGATTCCTAAAAATACTTGAAATCAATAGAAATATCTGTTATACGACCAGAAAGTGAATGTTAGGTGGTCCTTAGGCTTAATTACAAAAGATACCTGTTACTAAGTTAGATTATATGTAAAAGTACCGATCAGGTAATAAATCCAATGAATTAGAGGTTGAAGGTAATAAACAAAAGTTTGTGGGCCGACGTTTAGTGCTACTGACATTCTTCAGTAAACTGTAGATATAATCATGAAGGAAACGAGACTTTCTATGAGATTGGAATCCATCTCATCCAATTTCACAGTCTAATATGTTTAAAACTTACTTTACTGAGGGAAAACAGTTGAACGTGCTATCAGTTCGTATTATGTAGCGTAATTCGTTACTTACTTTCATACCTGTTTACCTAATTACGTCAAGTTAATTTTTTTTAATAATTCTAGAATCATGGTCATAACATCACATTGTAACTTTTCTACCCCAGTGAATACATTTTTGGATAAAATGCATCAGCTGGGAACTTGCAATTCTTAAATGGACATTTTATGAATGTAAGAATGGCGCATTTAAGGTCATTTTCTGTGCCATAACAAATTAATAATAATCATCTTCAATTAAAAAAATTAAAATGGAGACAAAACGGAACAACAAAACAATAATTACTAAAATATGTCAATCAGGTTTATTATAATGCATGTGACATAATGACTCAGTGATTTACTGTTTATGTTAGATATGATTCAAGTTAGTTAGGGTTTTCAGGAACAGTGAGTTTACTTTGAACTTGTCCTGATTTTGATGGAATTTTGTACTTTGAGCTGGAAGGTTTGGTCGTGGAGCTTTCATCGTTCTTATGAACGACATCATCAGCACAAACTTCGGGTAGAAGTGTAGTGTTCGAATTTCTCCACATGTCGTTCACAGCTTGTCCTGTACACTTCGATTGGTATTTGTTGACCTTAAATCTGTCAATGTTTACTTCTTTGCTTTGGTTGTATCTCCCATTGGTTTGATTTTTGTTCCTATGTTTTTGGGCATAATTTTCCTGATTGGTTGATAATTTGAATTGATTACAATGTGCTTGTTTATTGCTGATTGATCTGAGTGCCAAACTTTTAAAAATTCTCTGAATTTTTCGAAATTGCCTCTATCCAGTCGAATGTGTAACCGCAGTTGCCTACATACATTGATATAAGTGAAGACATGTCATGGTCTTTGACTGCTAATTGATGTTCATTCAAGCGAAGATGAAGAGAGGGTCCGCTTTGTCCGATGTGGTGTTTTTCACAGTTGCCACAATTTATTTTATAGATGATGTCTAGTTTGTCTTCTTTTGTCATTTCATCCTTTGGTTTACATAGGATTGAATGGAGGGATTTTGTTGGTTTGTGCGCAACACTTATTTTGAAGGTTTTCAGCAGTCTCGTTTTCGTTTCTGATATACCTTTTATGTATGTTAGGATGATCCTTTTGTTGATTTCTGTACTTGATCTTATTGCTGATAATGGGTGTGGCATGTCACGTAACTCATTGATATACTTTTCATATTAGATATTATTCAAATTAGTTAAGATTGCGAGGAACAGTGTTAACGTAAAGTAACAGCAAATAAGTGATTTAAATTCATTCAGTGTTGTTTGTTTGAATAAGTAAATAAGTAATTTTACTGATTGAATTCAATTATAAAAGAATAATCCCACTTCTCAAAAACACAACCCCCCTAATTTTTGGCATTGAATTCATTCTTTTTTATTTTTAGACATATCTTGAAGAATATTCCTAACTCAAATGACCTTGTCATTGGACTATCGATACGTGAACAGAGAAATATGATTGGTTAATAGGATTTAAGAAAAAATAACTAAATAACCAATCATAATTGAGTATAAAAAAATAAATCCGTTATTGGTTAATTTTTTTTCTTTTTTATTACCAATTTAATGTCTAACCATTTGGACTCATTATTGATTCAAAATTTTATTTAATGTAGAACAATTATGTGTCATTCATGAATTCATTTGTCCGGTTAATCTTTTCCCATCAGTATTATTAATATTATAATGTATCATAATCTAAGTTATTGGTTTACTGAACAATTTCTACCATCTAAACCTGATCCAAGACTATCAACTTATCCATTAATGTCAACATGGACACCAACTGCACTTATATCATTAGCTTATACGATAATTGTCTATCTATGGCGTATGGAATTATTACGAAGAATGAATAAAAAAAAGATGGAAATAAATTTAAATGATAAAAGTTTGATTAAAAGTTCAGATAAAAAACAATCCATTACATATTATATGGTCATATATAACTTCAGTATGGTACTATTCTCTACTTATTTATCTATATCTAGTTTCATTTTAATACGTCAACTTAATTATGGTTTAGGTTGTATTGAATTACCAGATCCTAATGATAAACGTACAGATAATTTAGTTTATTATGGTTATTTATTTTTTTTTTCAAAATTTGTCGAAATGTTAGATACAGTATTTTTCTTATATCGTGGTAAAGTTGATCAAGTTACATTTTTACATGTATTTCATCATGCATCAATGCCACCATCAATATGGTGGGGTTTAAAATATGCACCTGGTAAGTTACAGAGAATTTTATCTTTATAGATTGTGAAATATGTTTTTTTTTGCTTCAACATAACTTGATAACTGTTCCATAAGTATAAGTAGATTGATAAGGAATTTTATGAGAGAACTTGAATGCTGATTGATTACTTTTGAAATGCCATAGGCAAGAAAATTGTGTTATTGACCAATTAATCATCCAACTGGAACCATTTATGATTGAGATCATGAATCAGTCAATGTTATACCACCATTGAAACCTGAAAGTACTAGATGGCCGTTTCATCCTAGTATGGGGCTCCTCAGCAGTGCGCATCCATGACATTAACACCGTCAAAAGATGGCTCAGTGGTCTAGAGATTAAGGGTTTGCGCAAGAGACCGAAGTTCCTCGGTTCGAAACTCATGTACGAAACCGTGGGTGTGCAATGCCTAAGAGTTCTGTACTTAGACAAAACGGCAGTTCAGTGCTTTCAGGTTTTCGATGGTGGCCCAACATCGATCAACTCATAATCTCAATCAAAAACATAACAATCATCACAACCCCATACTGGTAATGCAACCCTTTTTCCAAGCTGCCATATTTAATTTGACTGAAATCTCATAACATTATCGTATATACAAATTCAACTTTATATTCACGCATAAAGAATATCAAATTTATCACAATCACCGACATTCACACAAAGACACAACCATATACACTGACAACTGGGGTGTCCCGTACCAGGACGAAACAGCCATTCAGTGTTTCTAGGTTTTCAAAATTGGTTTATCTAACATCAATTCATAAGTTAAACCGTAAAAACTCGACAATCTTCACAAATCCACATATGTCAATTAAATTTGTAGCTCACACTAAGTGACGAAACGTCAGGAAATTTATTTGTTTACTAATTAGGAAATTAAAAATATATCATTTTTATAATTAACACCATATATACTGTACAATTTATTTGAGATCATCAAGTCTTGGTAATGATATATTACTTATGTTAATTGTTGCCCTGGTTGTTAGAAGAGGCATCAGTATCGTGACCTCTGAAGAATCTCGACTTTTATCATAAGGCGTCATAATTCTTCATTCAACTCCCAGTGCAGAGTTGGAATCGTTTAATTTGTTTAATCTGGTCAGTGATTCTCAGCAAGTCCCGATGCCCAACCATCATCCTTTGTGTGAGCTTGAGATCGGGAGTAACTTTAGAAGAGCTACATTCTGAGTTGTAATGATATATAACAACCAATTAAGTTTGTAATATATCTTTTTTTAAAGTTTCCACCCATCCAGCATTACTACATTAATTGTTAAAAAATCAAGTGAAATTTAGAATTCGACCAGATTTAAAAGAATTGAACAAATATGATATCAGTTACTAATTAGTGGTTGATCGATTGTAGATAACTTAATCTTACAGAAGATAAATCGCTACCCAAACTGTTCGGTGGTAACTACTCTCCGACTATGAAGCTAGGTGATATGGGTTTGAATCCGTAAATGAGCTTCGTTTCTCTCGCGATAAAAAGTATGCCTTATTGATAAGTGCTAATTAGGTAGATCGGAATTTCTTGTCGATCACAACCAACCAGCCAACATATCAATATAGTGTGCCCACTGTCGAATCATCCAAACTAATGGCTAAATTGTAATTTGATCAATAGAGTTCGATCATCACTCCAGGGACTAGCCAAAAAATGACATCAGTCAGGATATTCTGAACAATCGGTCCATCAACTATAAAGATACTTTTATCAACTCAGAACAAGTTGCCTGATAATGAAATCTGTTAAAATTATTAGTAAAGACATCAGCTCAGATGTGAGTAGCATCTTTATTCTTACTACCAAAAGATTATATGGTCGGAGATGTATGTAAACTTTGTGAATTGCTTAACTGAGATGTTCATCTTATAAACTAATTTTACACTTACATACTGTTTTTTTCCAATGCTTGAACCTTGAACGAAAATAAACATTAAAAATTCTTGAAACAATTTCACGCATAAAGTACGATACGAGGATGAGCCAATCATTAAAACAAGAAAACTACTTTAAGGGTTTAATTAGCGCAAGAATTACATTTATCTTTCATTCGATCAAGTTTGTGGTAGGAATACCTTAGCATAATGCTTAGCAAAACGTTTCAACTTGTTAGGAAAAAATTCTTTTTGCCATCATATAAGACAAAACAACTGTCCAGTGGTTCTTGCTTTTCAGTATACATCTAACTAGTGTTGGTTTGTGATCTCAATGAAATAGATTAGTTTATTGAAAGGTAACTGTAAAAAAAGGATTATGATAAGTTAAGAAACAGTTGAAAATTGTATTTGTTGTAAATGCATATACCTAAAATGTCAAGCATGGAGTTGTATTCCATTTGATTTGAATATTGCTTTTTATTGGCATCCACTTATGTATATATACACATATCGTTGTTTCATGTAACAACTGAAATAGTCATAGATGATTTGGTAGGTCCTGGGTTCGAATCGCGGATGCACACTGCCGAGGAGTCCCACAATAAAACAAAACGGCCGTCCAGTGCTTCCAGGTTTTCTATGGTAGTCTAGCTTCAATTGACTCATGATTTCAACTATATAAAATTACTAAAATCTCTACAAAACCCCTTCTGATAACTGTATTATTCAAATGTTGACATGTTTGCATTATAGTATCTTAAAACCAGACGAATTTACTAAGACATATTATATTATTATTATATTATTATACTAAGGCATATTATTCTTTTTACTACAAGTTCTATACTATTTACAATACATTGAAGCAATCAGAAATTGATCAAATGATTAGTGCATATGACGGGCCAAGAAATAACTTAAAAATGAGACACTATTGGAGAATTTATTTTAGAAGGAGCTCTGCAATAAAATCTTCCCTTCTACTATAGATATTTCACTCGTATGGCTGCTTGGACTTATGCAACTTTAAGTACCAGTAACAGTATTTGTTATGTCTACAGTTTAGATTCTTGATATACGGCGAACAACTTGAGCACTTAAACTCTAGAACCCTCCAAATCGTAAATGAGAAGGCAGACGACAAGTGTAAGGAATGTTATTCCAAACAGTGTTAATTATTGTACAAAACTGTCAGTTATTTATAGTTATTAGTAAAAACGAAATCATCATTATAGTCCTCCAATCCACATTCAGAGGGTTATTAACATTTGTCCAATAGGGAATCTACACGTCAAGATTCTGGAATATTCTTCCAAACGTTGACTAGATAGAATATCTTCGGCTGTTTCTAAGCTTCTGAGAGCTTCAGGGTATCCGACACCCATATCACAAAATTTTATAGATATCACTGAGAGTAACTATATTTAATGAAATTTATTTAATAATTTAAACACATAAATATTGGTACAAGGGGGCACCAGATATATATGCGACATACAAATCTCATTTGATTTGTGTGAGGTCAGTGATACTGCCCAGATGCCCATACTGATGCAGATGATTTTCTTAGGGGGCCACAACCGGATCCTTTGACCTAAAGATCTGATCCACAAGACAGTGGAGCATCGTAAGGAGATCAGTCCAATGATAGTCGGTTACCAACAATTAATTCATACACCATTTTTTTCCCTCAGGATACTGGATCCCATGTGGACCATTAGATTGCGATTAGGGTTTCCGAACTCCCTTAGGTGAACACTCCACATCCATCAACCTGGTTAAAGCGCCGGATATTTGCTTTTCGTCCTCTTAATTTTGTAAACAACACCCCCGCCAATATATGAAGGCAATGAGTAGAACTTCTGTGACAGAGACTGTATACACGTTGCCATGTAAGAGCGTTTGGAGAGGGAGAGCGAACTCTACCCACTCTCAGTTGTATCAGGGCATTCGGAAACAATGAAATAAAGATATATTCAAGTAATATATATACATAACATAAATCTATAAATTTTTTTTTCTCCTTTGAAACATATTTTTCATCATTTTCTTTTTCTTTTTTCTTTTCATATCATTTTAGGTGGTCTATTATATATGTTCCCATTAATTAATAGTTTTGTTCATATTATTATGTATATTTATTATGGTTTAACATCTATTGGTTTATATCAATATTTATGGTGGAAAAATTATCTTACTATAATACAAATGTTACAATTTTTATGGTTTATTATACATCAAGGAAAATTTCTTTTATTTTATAAACAATGTAAATTTCCTAAAATTTTCCCATTCATTATATGTTTATATTCTTTATTATTTTTTTTATTATTTTTAAATTTTTATATTAAAGCATATTGGAAAAAAGAACGTTTAATTAAAAAAAGAAAAAAAAAGTAAAGAAAGAAAAAAAATAAACTAAAAAAAATAATATAATATGAAAATCAATAATAATAATAATATTAATAAAAATAATAGTAATATAAATAATAATAGTAATAATAATAATAATGATAATAATAGTGATAATGGTTATAGTTATAATAATTATGGAAATAATAATATTAATAATAATAGTAATAATAGTAGTGATAATAACAGTAATAATGTAAATGATGATGATAATAATAATAATAGTAATAATAATGATAATAATACTACTAATAATAATATTAATAATAATAGCAATAATGGTAGTAATAATAATAGTCATAATAATAATAGTAATGAAATCAATGATAATAATAATAATATTAGTAGTAGTAGTAGTAATAATAATAATAATAATCAATTTATTGATTTAATTAAAATAGAGAAATAAATTTCAAAGAAAAAAAATTATTGATTAAATGGATTTGTTTATAAACTTGATCGATAATTGAACGTTATTAGTCATATTTAATAATAAATATATAATCATTGTGATTTCATTTATATGTATTAATTACGCTTGTTACCCTTTCATAAGGAAGAGTACACTATTATTATTATTATTATTATTATCATTATTATTATTATTATTATTACTATTATTATTATTAGTGACTGTATGTTTAACTTGAACTGGTCAATTTTCAACTTTGTATGATAAATGTCAAATGTCGAAATATACATATATGTATATTACTTATGCTTGTTACCCCTCATAAGGGAGAATAGGTTACCCACCAGCTTTCAGTCTCTCTCTCTCTCTGTCTCTGGACAATACTTTCTAATTGTTTTTAATTGTTATTCATTCTTTTTTATTTGATGTCTACTTCCAATTTTATGACGTGAAATGTTTCATAGTCTTTCTCTTTTGGTTTTTCTTTCCGTTCAAGATTTAAAGTTTGCTTTGTGATGAAGATTGATGTATGTTCTATTTACACTTCTAGAGTTTTTTGCTAGTTTCATCTTTAGCTTGAAACTAGTTTGTTCTCTTCCACAGCAGATTGCTTCTGATGATATCCGACTACAAAAAAAAATATACAATTTATGGTTATCATTTGTTGTGCGTCTTCTTTTTTTAATTAGTAGCAAAACTGGTCGATTGAGATGATATGGCTCCTTCTATTGTTAATATCCAGTGAGAAAATGGGGATAGTAACCATGTGAATTCATTGTCATCGTAAATAAAGAAAGAAAAACTCAGAGTATTATGTATAATCATTAGACTATGGTGGTCGATATTCGATATTATCCCTACACTTCGTATATGTTCGTCCTGATAACTGTTACTCGATAACATCCTAAAGGTGTATAAATCAGAAGGCAAAGATGAAGGGTCGAGTTGGTTTATTATCGGATCACACACAGATATCCAATATTACAGTCACGTTAAGCAAGCATGAAAGAGCAGTGCCGTAAAGCAGGTGAGTGAGCGTGAGAGTCGAATGAGCGAATAATGAATCGATGAAGTTAGCGAGTATAGTACAATGCAGTGCAGTGAACACGATTAAGATGTACATATATATACACAAATGGAAATGCATGAATCATTGAATCAATTAGGCGATTAATAGTAAGGATAGCGGAATGAATACATGCGTAGGCATTAAGCAATACTCAAGCGTACATAATAAAGGTACAGTAGTATAGATAGGTTGTTGTTGTACGAATGACTGTCCGTTAAATAAGTTAACAAAAGAGCTTAGCCAAATTAGATGTAAACAAACTCATTTGTATGTGAACTGCCAAAAGACTACCATAAGGCTGTACATCTATGACTTATGAATAGTACAACAGAGAGTAATTGAACAAATAATTGACTAGTATGATCATTCCAAAACAGTAAGACAAACGTATAGTTAATAAATACATAAGAACTTTCGTCTAAATTACATCAAATAGTTTCACAGAAATTGAGCGCTGAGTTGATGTAAGACATTTTAAATAGGAATAATATATTTGTGAAATCTCAGCGAATGAATTTGAAGTAAATTCAACGTTTCGCCTGGCCATCTAGTCCAAGCTTTTTCAAGGAAATATAATCAAACATCAAAATTATCGAATATAAATAGGTAGCTGGTTCTCCGGTTCATTGTTTACTGAATAGGTCATCCAATCAACGTTAAAAATGTCTAAACTAGGTATATGTATTAGTGTGTAAGAAACTTGTGATGTGAAATGATAAGTGTTAAGATAACTTGATGGAGTTTTGTTCTTTGAGCTGGATGGTTTGATCGTGTAGCTTTCATCGTCCTTCTGAACGACATGATCAGCACAAACTTCGAGTGTTAAGATTACATATTGTATATATACGTAAGTGATGAAAACATACAATTCCCAGTTAGTGAGAAAAATTAGTCCATGAAGAAAAGAATCCAGTTAATACCAATTGTCAAATGCTTGAAATGTTATATTCATTTATTGGATAAATTATTGTTAAAACTACAACTTAAGAAAGAATATTATCAATGTGGGGTTATGGAGATTGTTAAGTTTTTTTATTGGGATCATCAATCGATGAATGTTAAACCACTATTGAAAACCTGAAAGTACTAAATGGCCGTTTTTGTTCTAACGTGGGACTCCTCAACATTGCTCATCCACGATCCCGCTACAGGATTCGAACACGGGATCATCAGTCTCTCTTGCGAACACTTAAACTTTAGACAACTGAGCTATCATCCAACGGTGTTAATGTCTCACTTCAATCAATCCACGAGATCCCGCGATCATCTTCCATTGTCTGCAACAGACAACCACGATACTGCATGTGGCGTTCGAAACCAGGACTTGCTTTAAGATGGATTTCCTCGAGTTCTAGTGAGAAGCTGTAGCCATTGAAGTTCAACTGTGCCTGTTGTAGAGGCAGTTACTCACTAAAAACAATAGTGGACGGTCACGAAACATTGTGGATTGTTTAAAGTTGGACATCAACACCACTGTATGATGACTCAGTTTTCTAGATGTTAGGCGTTCGTGAGCAAGATCGAAGATCGTTTATTCGAATCCCGTGTGCGGGATCATAGATGTACACTACTGAGGAGTCCCATACTAGGCTGAGACGGTCATCCAATGCTTTCAGGTTTTCCACAATAGTCTATTATTGATCTCTTCATGTTATTAATCTAATCTCAACAATCTCCAAAACCCTTTACTAATCATAATAATTTTTTCAATTACATTGAACTTAAAATTCTTCACTATATTCTTTTACACACAAATTAATAAATTTCAACTCATCAGGTCATGTTCTTTTTTTCTTGACCTGAATTCAATGAACACTTTTCATTTAAAACATTGATTCAGATTTCATTGTGTCCAACATATAGAAACAATAATAATCAATGTTCACATGTACAATATATATACATATACTCACACTCACACTCACATGTACACACATACACATACACATACATGTGTACCCCTTAATAAGATATACACACAAAAATACAAATTATTAATATGAATTAGTTAGTTACTAGTTATTGAATATTTATCTTATAGAAACCAATGACAACTATAAGTTCAAACTGTCAACGAAGATATAACAAATTTTATAATTTAAAAATGATCATATATACGAATGAACATGTTCAATGGATAATTTCTAATGATAGATAATCTTAATAGTTGAATTCATGAGTACTTCTAATCACTGAATGACTGTTTCGTTCTAGTATAGGACAACTTAGCAGTGTGCATTCATGATCTCGAACATGGGAGTTGAATCAAAGAATTTCTGTCTGGGATGCGAATAGTTAACTTTTAGACTACGGAGTCAGTAATGAATGGTGTTAATGTTTAACTTCAATTGATCCATGATTTTGCTCAACCTCATTCATTCATTATCTAAGGTGGTAACTATCTCTAACCGATAAAAATTGGATTCCACTGGTCACAGCTTATCGCTAAAATTCCAGAAAATCCATTTTGAAGCTAGTCACTGTTGAGTACATAATTATTTGTATTTGTAAACTGTCTTTCGATGGATATTAAATATGTTTTGACTAAAACATTAGGTATGATAAATATTGGCAGACATAATTGTATTCCATCTGTAAGAGTTAGTAAGGTATAAAACTTTACGAAGATTCCCCTCGTCGGTATATTTGACTAAAAGAAGAACAACAGACGTGGAACAAGTCAGTAAGTCAATCACATCACATAACCTGTACATATGTACATCCGTTCAAGTTCCTAAACCCCGTTAACTTCGAGAGATCAAATTGTCAGGTAAAATCTCAAAAGAATAGATTTAGTAAGAGTACCAGAGGTTACATGAAAGACTAGGCATCAAAGATACGATTCGAAAGGTAAATATAAGTTAGTGAATTAAACACACAAAAAAGGTTGTAATAAAGCTTATATATATATATATATATATATATATATATATATATTACTTACGCCTGCTACACCTCGTGGAGGAGCATAGGCCGCACACCAGCATTCTTCATCCAACCCTGTCTTGGGCGATCCTTTCCAGTTAACATTCATCCTTTTCATATCTGCTTTTATTTCTCGGCGTAATGTGTTCTTTGGCCTTCTTATTATCCTCTTCCCTTCTCGATTCCAAGTTAGGGATTGCCTCGTGATGCAGTTTGGTGATTTCCTCAATGTATGTCCTATCCACTTCCAACATCTTTTCCTAATTTCATCTTCAGCTGGAAGCTGGTTTGTCCTCTCCCACAGTAGTCTGTTGATGATAGTATCCGACCAATGAATGTTGAGAACCTTGCGTAAACAACTATCTATAAATACTTTTATCTTCTGGCAAATGGTTTGTAGTAGTTCTCCACATTTCATCTCCGTACAGTAGGACTATCTTGAAGTTCGTATTGAAGACTCTCACTTTGAATTTAGTTGACAGTTGTTTTGAGTTCCATATGTTCTTCAATTGTATAAATGATGCCCTTGCTTTGCCAATCCTCGCGTTTACTTCTGCATCCGATCCTCCTTGTTTATCAACGATGCTCCCCAGGTACTTGAATGTTTCCACCTCTTCCAGAGTTTCGCTATCAAGTGTGATTGGGTTGGTGTTCTCCTTGTTGCATTTGAGAATCTTGCTTTTTCCTTTGTGAGTGTGGAGGCCTATCGATACAGAGGCTGCTGCTACATTTGCTGTCTTCATCTGCAATTGTTCGTGTGTATGAGAGAGGAGAGGTAGATCATCTGCGAAGTCCCAATCGTCTTATTGATTCTGAGATGTTCATTGTATTCCATGCTTCCCCTCAGATGTCGAGATCTTCATAATCTAGTCAAACACCAGAAGAAGGGGGAGAGTAGACAGCCTTGTCTACCTGCAGTCCTCACCTGGAAATGCATCTGTCAGCAGTACTACATGCACGACTTTGCATATATATATACTACACTGAAATAATGAACCGATGAATGTTAGACAATGATATCTACTTCTGAGGAATCCCATATTAGAACGAAACGGCTGTTCAGTACTTCCAGGTTTTCAATGGTGATCGGTTCATGATTTCAATGAAGTTCCACAGTCTTCACAACCTCATACTAAAAACTATAACTACAGTTGATTCAGTGATATGATGATATTTCTATTA